CAAATAAGAATTCAAAATTAAATCGATTATGTTAAATATCAACAACGACTCGTAGAACAGACACAACCGGTAGCTCGATTTCACATTCACTATAAGTTTATTCACTTATTTCTAAGGCCACCGACAACCAAAGTCTCGCAAGAGTTGTGTTGAACGAAAATATGTTCATGTCAAAAATGATGCCAAAGTTATCACAAGAAATGTTAGTGCGCCAATATACCAAAAATAAATCACACACGAAAGAAAAATATGCTGGACGCCACTTAGACTGTCAGGAGTAGGCCTGCTCAAGTTTCTTTTGGTCTTGCACAAGTAGTTATTAATTCAAACTATATTTGCTATAATCCGAGATGTGTATCCCTACTAATCACGTAGTGGTAATATCCATGCGACCAGTAAACACAGGCAGCGAATATAACAGAATTCTGTTTTCGAAAAAAAGGATGATTGACAACAAAACGCATATGTGTGCAGCAGTAAAATTGTCAGCGATAATCAATAGGTCATATAAAAGAGGACCAAAACTGGAATAGAAGGTCAAAGGTCATGTTCCCTGTAAACAAAACACTGATGATCAACTGAAGATCACCAGCACAGATGATCTGTATCGAATGATTCGGAGGCATACTGAAGTTAGGTGCGAGTAGCGTGACCAATCAGCTAACGTCGAAGTTATACCTCATGGTTAGTACCCGACATGGATTACCCTTTCATCATATCTAGGTACTATGGCTGCTTTAATGATCGTACAAGACGGGTGACGTAATTACAGAAATATATTAGTTATAGTAGGTACAAGGGAGCGATTGCGACCACAGCTGCACATGCCAGTCCGTGTTCATACTTAATTGATGCACGTTGGCTATAGTTGACAATGACGAAAATCGGTGGACTTAGATATTCAATGACTTGACTCCAGAGTGACATGGCTAGGGCTAAGTGACATTTCATTGGCCCTAAGCAACAATGACAATCGTACAAATTCTGGGAAATAATGGTAAAAATGCGAATAACAACTAAGTTGCAAAATAAATCTATGCTAACTATCCTATAGAGTCAAAAACACACTAACCATTCGTTTCTAAACTGATCTTGGCCAATATTGTCCCTCAATTCATTACACATTTGCCTGTACTTCAACACTATATGAAATCGAAGGATTCTAAACATCTGTAAAAATATTTTGAATGAGACATTTTCTTGATCATCATTGATATAAATAGTCCCATACACATATTTTCTTACCTTTAAGACTTCGAAGTGTCAAGTAGTCCATCTGAGACATGTTGCAGATTACAGCTACAACTTAGCTAACTCTCGAACGGAAGTATCTCAGGTTGAAAAGGATCTAGGAGTGTCGGAACCCTGCAACAGAAGTGCCGTTCGATTGAACTTTCCACATAATGTTCAACGGTTATATTCGTCCCCATTTAGAGTACAGAACATGGTATTTTCTCCCTCACTCTGCAACGTATCCAACGGTGAGCCACAAAATTAGTTCGTGGACTCGAACCTAGGTCTTATGAAGAGAGCCTCCAATCACAATGGTGTGTTCTGATTTTGTAGCAGGGAATTGGTTGTTTGTCAATAGCTCGTTTTGTTAATAACAGGGACTGGAGGGGGATATATCAAATGAGCTAATGAAGTTGCTATAAGAGGTGAGCTAGGAGGGAGGGGTTGGAATACTGTGTAACTGAGATTTTATGAGAGAAGTGAGTTTAGATTTTGCATGTGCTTTAAAATGGCTCGGGCTAGATGTCTCATCAAAGGTGCCGCTAAAGGTTGTATTCCGAACAATCCCTGTTTAGGCTGTCTGCTCCGTTTAACGCTATATGTAATACAGTCTTCATGGTAAAACTTGTGTGGTGGATCAGACAGATATGAACGCGAAAAGTATAAACAAAGTTACTAAATATTAATATATACAGTTAATTGTTACAAATACAATAAAAATTTGGGACGTTACTTAAATTGACCAAACGTTGCGTGTTCTGATTGAGTCCGGTAATGTAAATCCACAATTATAAATGCTTGGTGATTCTGAGCAGGTTGGCGAATTCTCCAGTGATATAATCCAACGTAGAATGTGATATATTCCAAATACAGTCTATAAATAATGATGGTATATGATTTAGACTTCAGTTAACTCAATCACAAACGAAGATAAAACGAGGAATGTGAGAGCAGTAGTGTATTTGTTAGCCAGCAAGAATATGTCACGCTATGTCAGAATCACAACGGAAAGTTTGTTCAAGGTCATTTACTAAAACAACACTACAGTCATTTAATGTTAAATGTACATACAGTGGAAGGTTGACAAAATGAATACAAATAACATTGAAAACTATTTACAAAACAAGCTTGTCAGGCCTATCTCCACATAACTCCCCCCAGAGTGTCCGGGGGTAACACTGGTTATAATAACAAAAAAATGTAAGGATATGACATATACATGTATACAAAAATAATATTTACAGTTATAGCTAACAAAAATGTGGAGATGAGTATGGCGTGTAGCAGAGATGTAGCATAGCATAATAAACACACACACAAAAAAATGAAGACACTGTCATTTAATGTCTTGGTTGGGTAACAATGATAATAATAATGTGCAAAACTGCTAATAACCCAAAAAAAATTGAACTGTTTATTTTTGTGTACAATAAATGGGTAATTAAATAGAGTTTACTCGTTTATTATAGTAACAAAAATTTTTTTAGAAAAAAAATAAATGTGACAAAACGAATAATTGTGGAAAAATGTGATTATGTACACTGTGAAATAAAAAAAACTTTTTGGGTGAAATTAGTAGCGTGTCCTTTATACATGAAAGTGCAATTCAACGGGGATGTGGCTAGTGACACTCTGAAATATAGGTTAACCAAAGTAATCACCAAGACATTCTACGCAGCCAATCTTGCGTTGACCTTCTCTTGTCGACCAGCGATGTCTACTCAAACGAAGGATAAGTTACCTGAGTTGGCCTCTTCAATGTGCATTTACAAATTCAGCTGCTCCTGTGGAGATAGCTATATAGGGCGTACTACCAGGCAACTTAAGCAACGAATGAGTGAACATCTACCAACTTGGTACATAAAGGGTCAGAGAAAAACTATTCGCAGTTCTATACTAGCACATCTTATTGATAGCGGTCATGCAGTAGAGAAATCGAAATCATTTCGAGTTATCTATCGTATACCTCCATCATTTCCCGACGGAGTCCGTTCCCGTCTCCTATATATAGCTGAAGCCATTGGAATTCGTACATATAACCCCAATCTATGTGTACAGAAGAAATACGTGACCCCTCTATCCCTTCCATGGCCAGTTATAACTTAACTAACAATTTTTTTATTTTATTTTATTTTAAATTTTATTATTATAATTATTTATTTTATTCTATCTGTGTTATTGTTAACCTTATTTCCACATCCATTATTTGTTTGTCATTATCCGCCTCTTTGTATTCACACATCTTATTACGTGATGATTTTTAAGGTTTTGTGATTACTATTCCTAGTCTATTTACCCATGTTTATTTGACCTTCTATTTCCAACGATTAACTATTGATAAGAGTTTGTTATTGTAGTTTATTATTCTTACCACTATCTGTTCACCTGTCTTCGTACTATCAACTTGTACTTTTACCTATTATGTGTAGAGACTTATTCTATTTCATTGTGATTATTGACTCATATTGCCTTGATTGGTTTAAAAATCTTCGTATAAATATTCATGTATATTAGAGTAAAGCCTGATGACGATCTAATTGAAAACAATTGTTCGCTTATATGTACTGAGAATTTGTCTAACACTATGTGGTAACCTTTGTAACCACATTTGCTTAAGTAGCGTCTCGTCTAATTTGTATGGGCCGGCGAGCTGTCTCATGTGTCAGAGCAACTGTGAAGGTCTCTTATCCCCTAGTTCGCATGAGGTAAGCAGTTGTTGTAAACGTTTTTCATCTGAGAGCGATGTGCGTTGGATTACTGCAGCTTTTATCTTGTCATAAGGGTCAATTTCTGGTACGTTGTTGATCAGGTCACCGACTTCCGTTGCTACTTCTATAGGTAGTGCACTGACGACGTGGGCATATTCGGTAGCTTGCGAACGTATACCCCTCGCCAAAAATAGTGCCTCAACTTGAGCAAACCAAATTCTAGGGTTGTTGACACCGTATATTGGTAATCTTAGTTCAGAAATAGCGTTGACTGAGTTTAAAACATTATCTTCTGGCTGTGATGAATGAAAGGTGTTGGTTGATGGGCTATCTATATCAATAAGTTTATTAGGAGAGTTCATAATGTCAAAAACATAAATGGTGTGTAGTGCTAAATAATAATAAAAAAATATGTAGATGTATATGTAGTAGATGTCTATATTAAAAAAATCGAGGCTCATTAAATAATTGTGGTTGACAAAATGAATACAAATAACATTGAAAACTATTTACAAAATAAGCTTGTCAGGCCTATCTCCACACTTGTATCTTGGTTTATAGCTATCTGCACAAGCGCTAGCTTAGGAAGTATCTGCCATGTCTAATCGGCAGTCGTTATAACCGCCTTTATGCTCGAGGGCTATTTTTATCCGGTGGATTGGTACTGTAGGATGCGAGAATTCTTCGTCCTGATGTTGATTGCTATTCTGATCCTGGGGGTCAGAAATTGGATGTGAAGTGGGAATTATTTCGTTACCATACATATTAATAATTCTAGGATTTGGACTCAGCATGCTCTGTTCTTCCAGTTTTAAATTGGCAAATACTGTGATGAATTTTTTAATATCAGTAGGTGACTTCGGAATGATCCATAACATGTTGAACTGTTCCGTCAACATTATCTTGAACTAACTCTCAAATATCAGGAAATATGTTATTAGCCTTGTTCTTCAATATGATACTAATTTCCAATCATATTTTTAATAAAGTTGTGTTGATAGATAGCCTTGCATTTATCTCCAGTGTATTGTAACATAGGTCTACAGCTTGGCACGTTGTACAAGTAGTAGGGTCGTGCGTAGTTCAAAAATAACCAAACAAGGATGGTAGAGGGCTCCAGCTTGTCTGTTGAGTCTGTGTTATCTGCCATTGATGCGTTGTATATGAATCCAGATACATCTGTCAAAGAGCAAGCTTCAAAATGGCTGTGTGAATTTCAAAAATCAGTAACTTTTCTTACCTACATGACCTTTTAGGTTTATGCTTGGCAAATATCCGATCAGTTGCTTTACATGAATAGAGATTTAAATTCTTGTTACTTTGGAGCTCAAACCATACGTAAAAAGGTATGTTTTATGTAGGAGCCAGTAATGCTTTAAGATTCAATGTCACTTTACTGAACTCCCAGTGGAGTCGCACGAAGTACGTTTCGATTATCTATCCAGCTTAGTTCCAGGGACTAAAAAACTCTCTCCTGCAACATGTCCAAGAACTTAGAGAAAACACTAGCCTACCGATAGCAAATCAGTTGTGCTTAGCCGTCGCAGATTTGTTTTGCCATATGGTTCAGTGGAAAGATGGTATCAAAGATATTGTTTCTAAGTAATTGCAGAGTATTTATTAAAATATTTCCACAGATTTTCAGAAACAGACGTCTCCTGTAGCTACTTAATTGATATTCTGAAATTTATTCCTGAAGAGGTAGGGAGCGTGTTATTTTAATGCACTTGTAGATGAACAGCAGTACTCTTCGACTAGGAATGAATCGTCGACACGCTCTTATGAGTCAGTTTGAAGGGAGCAAACAGTTTGTGTTGGAGTTTCTGGTAAGCATTTGACAACCTCAGGTTAAATTGTGCATCACTTCACTACAAATCGGTTGTTGATGCCGTATACATCTTTTTTTCTACGTATGTCCTTGTGAAGACAGGTTTTGCAATATTATATTTTGTAACTTTACTATAAGTGTAGATCACATGTATTCTTTACCGCCAGCAAACAAATTACGATCTTTTGTTAACTACCCTTACATTTTTACATACCGAGTCATCTTGATATTAATTTTAGAAGGATAGCTGTCCTCTCATTCATCGTCAAATTGAAGTGGTCGTAGTTCCCACTCTAAATTTGCTCTATAACTTATTTCTTTGCTATTTTGTGTACCACTCCATCAGAATTACAACACATACTCTTAAAACCTTTGTTGCTTCCGTATCTTTTGGAACGTAATTTACTTTATATCCTATTTACATATTTCTTGTTCCATGAGTAGATATGGTCATAAATTGTACTGTTTACCTGTTTCAACCATTTCCATTTTTTACATACACCCAAAGTTGATATATAAGCATCAAAAATGTAATTCAACTAGAGTGCTTAAGATACATCTTGAAATATGACGTATCAGAGTAGGACAAAAATGAGCTATCTTCATTGCTACATATAATCACTGTAGTTGATAAAAAATAGCAGGCATGTATTACAGAAGAAAAAAATGCACCACACAAATGAATTGTTTTGTTGTACCATGTCCCAACTAATATAGATTTCTGGAGCTAGTCCATCTGAACATGCTACTCCCCTCGCCTTAGATTGTTTATGGCCTTTTCAACCCCACTTACGTCAATTAGCCATTCATGTATATTGAGGGTGGTGGGTGAGTAAAGTATGGCTGACGGTCAGTTAAGGTGTTCAGATATTCAATACATAATAAGATTTTCGGCTACTGAAAGCCTGGTTTTTCAGTGGTTTATCTTTTGTATTCCATGGTAATCATTTACCACGCTAATTCTTTTAAGTACTTTTCTCAACAACGACGAACTCCAACTCTCTTTAAAAGCATAAGGTCTTTACTATGCCAACCGGATTTTCCATACAGATTATTGGGTAGAAACATTTTATGGTTTAAATACTATCCATTCTGTCTTTTACCCGTAAGATATTTACTCTTTTGTAGCCGCTTTCGGAAGTTAAGTAAAAGTTATCATAGTCACATCATATTACAAATCTGATCTAGTTGTTGTTAAACTTTAGAATCGATTTCATATTTGTAGTTTGAAATATGTATTTATTTTCAAACCATTATATCAAGTAGTTAGCCACAGAGTTTTGCACCCAAAATGATAGCACGAAATAGGAATAATTAATTTCACAAGCATTGTTTGTTCTTGTTTAAAACAAAGGAAAAAAATTCCGAAATTCGGTCTCATTTTGTCTTTTCGTAATTGATGGTATTATTACTAGATAGAAGTCCCTTTGCGTGAACCAACAATTTTATGCAGAATCCTGTTCGTAAGCCTTGAAATGATAGTTCTGGCTAAGGTAGACGGCATTAGTGCTTGTGTTATCAATACTGAGGTCTTCTATTTGTTTTTAGTCTCACAGAGCAAAATCAGAACAAATGGTTATCTTAGCTAAAGTATATAATTGTCTTGCAAGTTGGTGGGATAATACTGGAGTCATGGTTGAACACGATGTACCGATTGACCCTCTCTTAAACACTGCATTTGCTATCCTTCGGAATCCTTCCACTACTCCTGAATCAACTTTCGATGCAGCATCTCAGTGGGTGCTAGCACTTTTATACCAGTGTAAGGTAAGCCAATTTATTTTAGCTGTATTACTGTTAATTACATGTCTGTAGATTAACCTTGTACTAGAAAAACTGTAACTTCTGTATGGCATATTCAACATTTTTCGCTTAAATACTTATCTCCGCTTTTTATGTGCGCCTTTTGAATGTCCCATCTTACTGTTAAATGTTTCGGAACAGTTCTTTAGTCGTTAGGAGCATGTACGGATCAAAGTAAATCCTTACTTGTTATGAAACTTCATGACAAACCGCTTGTCTCCTTCAAACTGACCTAAAATAGTGTCGACGAGGACTCGTATTCATCTACAAATACATTCCAGTAACATTCCCTAATTCCTGGAAAATAAATTCCAAAGTACCGATCAACTTACTTCAAGAAAAACTTGTCTCTGTCAAGTCACGATAGGTTGGTTCGTCGATTTATAAAGCCTCCATGGTTTTATATTCTCTTAGCTTATCCTAATTCTTAAGTGTCATGTAACAGTGAATCAAGTAGTTAGCCTTTCGATTTCGGCCTCTGCTGAATATACTGAATATATATGCAGGTGAGAATTTTTTATATAGTAGATTGAATGCGCCTAGCAGTGAAATCCGGGGTTGGGATACTACATTTCTCTTCAAATATCAACGTTGGCTCATCCAGTTAGTGATTTTCGAACAACACGAAACTCGCGTCCTTGATTTTATTGCTAGTCACATTCCGTCTATTTTATGTAGACTTATGTCATAATGGATATATCGAGGCAATCCTCGCAGGATGCACATATACTAGGACTGATTAAAATTCACTCAAAATATTAACAATAGGATAACCCAAACTATTACAAACTAAATTGAAACTTTTGCCTTTTTCAACTTCGTTTACTTACGTTTTTGTGGGAAAATGGTTACCTTCCTTTTGTTAATTCTGATTCAAGCAACTTAGCAACTCAAACAGTGAATTACTGCGTTGGCTTCAAGAAAATATTTACAGTCTAGTTAGTGTTGTGCAGGAATGTTCCAATTCTGTCGCGTCTGCGTTGGGATCAATTCAACAACAAGAACAGCTTGAACTGTACAAAGATCGGTGTACTTGTTTGGCTCACATTTTCTCGTCATTAGCCAGAACTTTACGGCCTCCTCTAGTAGATCAGCCCACTAGCCCTGGATCTGGTGGTCTTGGAGACTTGCGTACTATGGAGTGTATTCTTGTAGTTCTTGAAATACCTCCTCCTCTCGGTAGTCGTGAATTGGCATCTATTACATTCCACGCCTTACATTCGTTGGCTGATGATGCAATTCGAGTAAGTTTGAAGAACTGTATCTTTATTAAGTGTCTAATAATATTTCTAACGTTTCACTAAACCAATCAATGGCTGTCTTGTTTGTTTTTAAACCAACTATCTTGACACTCGCTCTACTACTCAACAAAGGGATTGTACTACTTTTTATTAAAAATACGGCACTGATTATTCCCTAACCCGTAGCGTCACAACTGATAACTGATAAAAACTACAATGATGGGTCCATTCCTAAGTCTTTTCGGATTTAACTAAATTTTAGTATTCTGTGTAGACAGAAGTAAATTTATATTCTAAACGCAATTAAAAGCAAGGAATGGACCATCAATAAAATGATTCATGCATAAGTAAATCATTGAAAAGAAGAAAGTAATATGGCCAAATAATTCGGTGGTAGGTAGTTTAGCTTAGTCTCAAAGACATTTCTTCCTTTGGGATATACTGAAAATAAGAAGCATATCTTACGAACCAGTTAAAGCATACTGATAAACTGTTAAATAAAGGTCAAGTAAATCATAAAAGAATGTCTCTACCTCCTATTCCGATAATAAAGAATTCAGCTCTCAGCAGATATCCAAACTGTGTCATTTTCCCATAACATTTCCCCCTACGTTACAAACGTATTGCCATCACTGTTTATTGTGTACTTTCTAATTTGTTGAACATTATGGAATTTATTTACAATGACTTTTCGTACTCTTATTTGAATTAGCACCGGTCCATGAGTGCTGCAGTATCTGTGAATCAGGGCCCCTTGGAATCTTCGGTTAACAACTCTAATACCTCTACTGGCTTGGCACGCCCAATTGCAGCCTTAATTCCTTACTTCACTCGCGTTGTGGTTGCGTTAACTAGTTACTGTCCTAGTAATACATCCGACTTAGAAAGCACCGATGAATTAAGAGATTTTCGTGAGGATGTTCATGATCTCATGCAAGATATTCTGGGTTTGGTTGGGGCTGAGGCTATTTTTGTCGAGGTAATTATATATACACAATATTATATAATTGGTGTGATTTCTTAAATACTGTTTTTATATTTTTATTAACTTTATTGTACAACATTCATTTCATATTTTGAATTGCTCTTCAGTTTGATCAAGGTAGCTAGTGTGTGACCAGTCGTACAGTACCAAGTCCTACGTTGATAAAGGTTAACTGCTGATTTTTCCAAATAGACGTCATGGATGGTTGTTTGAAATTTGTCGCTCTCTAGGTTTTATAAGTATTTTGTGGGGGATGGAAACTACTGTGTCATCTTTGCCATGAACCGCATCAATAACGATGTGTATAAAATTATACCTTACATCAGAGTGTGGTAACAACAAAGTAACATCATGTATTATGTAGCAAGCTGCATATACTAGAATAGTAATCATGGTTAACGTGTATTATAATTTGCAAATTATTGTTCTGAAATCGATCTTTGACAGTTACGCACAATCTAATTTCACTAGGTTATGACAGGCTTTGCTTGTTCTAAATAGTATTTAAGCTACCCTACCCTCCAATTCTCATCATTGCTAACATTAATCTTACTAAGGTAGATTGTATCAGTCAGTCATCTATAACGTAGGACCAGGCACATATGTGCATCGGTCCACGTTGCCATATCTCATTAGGTCAACAAGATGAAAACCGAATTCATAAAGTAGTGGTAATATATAAAAGAAAGATTGGATATAAGTATATAGTACAGGAAGAAAGATTTAGTATGTAGAAAGAAAGATATGAAGCGATTTTAATCTCATAGTTTAAAGGAAGATAGAGAGTGTATACCCCTACGCCATTGTGATCGATTCTGAGCCATGTCACCCAGTCTCCAACCATTGGCTACGATAGCTGCGCGGACCCCAACCAAGTAGTCTGCATCTACCAACACGACTAAGACTAGAAGTTAGTGAATCCAAGGAGGTTAGCGACTTCAAGGATAGATTGTATGGTCATAAATAGTGATCTACGTTAACCACGCAGCTTTTTTATACTTTTTGGACGTGTTCTGCATGGTCTGTTTGCCTCTTGTACAGTTCTTGACCCTGAATTCAACCAAAGATAGCAATAATCCTAGTATTTCGTTTCTGAATTTAACTGTCTAATTTACATAACCAATTTTAAGTACACCATAAATATGTACCAATAATAGCTGTCCTGGTATGTAATTTCAATTTTGTTTTGTGTTAGTGCTGAAATCTGTGTGTTATGTACCCTTCATATTTTTGACTTGTCAGTTTTATCATATCACTTGTCATTATTGAGTTTTCCGACTATCTTGACCGTAGTTGTAAGTACTTAGTTTATGGTTAAGAAAGACAACAATAATTGATGCACCTATTGCTTTATATATTGATGGTTATATTGCAAGTCTTCTTTCTTTTCCCTTCCATTTTGATATTCGAAGGTAGTGCCTACTTTTCGGGCTAAATTTATAACAAATATAATCTTCCATTTCTAGCTATACAATTATGTACAGAAGCTGCAAATGTTAGCTATGTCTGAGAATGCACAGGCGTCGGCATATGAAGTGCTTCGAGAGTCTGAAGCATGTCTGTTCATGCTTACAACTGTTGCTAAACGTCTATCTCCTCGTGATCCTGAAGGACATATTTCGAATCTTATATCAAAATTAGTACTCCCAGGTCTCACAGGACCATGCCCTCCTGCTCTTCAAGAAGTCGGTTGTATGCTGTATATGGAGTTGGCTCATTGGGCTGCCTGCCATCCTCAGCTCCGGCGTCAAATCGTTAACCAGCTGATTGAGATCATCGAGAAGTCTGCTGGCGTTGAGTCCCAATCTTTACGGGTTAGTTGTTTTGTAATGTGTTTTTCGTAGTATTTCCGAGTTATGTTTATCACCTCGAGTTCGAATGGAGTGTGTTTATTAGTCATTGAATTGAGATTGTAAAGAAAATCAAGATGTACTTATGTTCTTAGTTCAAGTAGTTTTTCGTGAGCTATAAATCGGGTTTTTAATCATAATATTTAAGGCACTTAGTTCTTAGTAAAGCTGGGTTCATTCCATGTCAAGAAGAATTGTTTTTATTCAATAGATATGTAGTATTTTTTGATGAATTTTTTTTAACTGTCGTAATTCCCCTGACATAATCGTCGTTCTAAAAGATTGGAAATGATGAAGTAATCGATCATAGATACGAATAAAAATGAGGTGACAGCACCTTGAAAGTATTTATTCAGAATATGCTGGTCATATCCCACCAATAAGTTTACTGCTGAACGAGACGGGTAGATTTGGGTGGAGTTTTGTTCTCTGAACTCCACCAAAATCATCCACCTGAGCTACAAATCTTCTCCACGGGTAGATTTGTTTGTAGCGTAAATTATAGGATAAAATTTTCATCCCAATTTTTATGTGAATTTCAGTCTAATTTCCAGAAGTGTTAAAAACAAAACAAAACTTTTTATTTTATTGTATTTTGTTTATCACAATCCTAAATTCACATGCTCTAAACGATGTACTTTACCCTTAACTTGGCCATTTTTCGGATTAATAATTTGGATATATAACTGTAGAACCTGAAGAGAATTTATCGAAAAGAATATTCTTCGTTCAAATATTAGTCTTTTTAATAAGTGCTTAGATATCTTTGATTAGCGCTTGTGTATAATGTCGTTACTACAATAGTAATAATCGTCTGAATTCACTCGCCAACTGATTCATAATTACTTGATTGATATCCAGGCAATCTGTTAACAGCCTAGTTCTACTCTTAATGAAGGTTTTTAATATTAATTTTGTCCATGGGTACACCGATTGTTTTTAATTTTCTGCTACATCCCAAGTTCCTTCGACTGTTTACTTTGAAGAAAATGTAATCTTAGCTTTTATGGAGTTGTATATCGGTTTCCTAGCAAATTAAACTAGTAATTCGTTTAAACGAAATTCGTATTTTTACTTGTATCACTGAGATGAGTCTCAGTTAATAATGTAAAATTTCGTAGATACAGAAACTACAAACAAGCTGGCGTTCCAATCGATTTACGCACAAAATCCTCTTTTTTGGTCGAATGTAGAGGACCAATGGCAAATGATGCTTCCCATTTCAAAGGTGTTTCATTTAACGATTGGATAATTTTCTCGAAGTCAACTAGTTAGCTTATTTCAATTGGTATTCAACATTGTAGGGTCTATGCCGTTTCGTGCTCTTACTTGATTCATCCTCATTTCTACTCTTTATGAAAGAAAAACACAAGCTTCAAGTAGCCAACCTAAAGATCTAATGAAGAATTAGTTCTATTACCATTATTTGTAATCTATAATGGCTGCTATTGCTTACTTGTTATGGACTTCATCGTTCGAAAGTTATTACCACTTGTGTTTACCGTTCGTTTTCACATATGAAGTATGGAACACTGTTTTTGAGTGTTTTATTTAAAATTAACAAATGCTGACCATATTCTTTGATTATTGGATAACTAAACGACTATTTCCAGTGGATCCCTAATGGTATCTATTTCTACAGATGGTTTCGCCGCAATAGGTAGGTGCATTGTATATTTTTGATTTTAGTATTTAGAAAGTTTCATTGGTTTGTCAATATAATCAATATCTTCCCTATAACAATCATAACTGTACAAACAGAAAGACACAGGGAACTGGTTGTCGCAACTTTCCAAACTCATCAAGTGTTGGGAGACATTCATATTCTATAGTGGCGTTAAGTTGAATTTTCAAATTCTCGACTCGTAATGCTGCGAAGAAAGTCCAACTTTTCTTTACTTGGCATCAGTCAATTACTCTTTTGACAACATTTATTAGTGTTTAGCTGGATTTTGACTTTTTATTTTGTATTCCAGCCAGGTCAAAAGCTTGCTGTTGGAGCAGCACTTTCAGCTCTTGGTTCTTTATGTGCTGTGTATCGCGCAACCCCAACATCTACACCTAACGGAGATGTTTCTACTCATTCCCCTTGTAACTCCGATTCTCTTCGTCTTGCTCTAATTGACGAACATTGGCAAGATTTGGTCAATCGAGTTGCCTACAATCTACCAAGACTTGCTTGGGTTCCTATCCATGATGCTACTCATTTTTTCGCTGGTATTGGACGAGGTCTAATATGCTCTGTGGGCACAGGTGGTGGGGGAGTTGAATTCGACCCTCGAGTGTCTAGACAAGCTTTTCCGATGAGAGTAGCACAAATATGTAGCGTCAGCTTGGAATGTTTATCTAAGGTAATTATCAACTTTCATGATAAGTAGTTTTGAATTTTTATCAGGAGTCTGTATGATTTAGTTTACGGACTAAAAGTATTGTTATTACACTACACATGTACAGAATAGTTTTTTTTCCGCCTACTAATATAAGATACTAGCAATATGGTGAACAATATATTGTAGAGGTTAATTCCCCTATATCTGAATCCAATAAATATTATCCCGTCAACTAAGTATTTACGTAGGCTAAATCTCCTAGTCAGTCAGTCAGTAACAACGTAAAACTTCGCACGTACGTACATCAGTTCGTGTTGCCATACCACATTGGCAGAGAGATTCTATTGTCTATTCAAATCCGTAGTGATAGTAAGGGTATAAGCAGTAATCGGGAAGATTAGGGTTTGAAGATATTATTCAAGAAGTATAATACAGTGAAATAAATTTGGGAAGAGGAAAAAAAGGGACATGAAGATTTCAGAAGATCAGAATTTGGGAGAACACAAAGAGTGGATGTACTTGCGCCATTGCAAACGATTTTGAGCCATGTCATTCAGGGGCTCTAACCATCGATTGCTATCGTCTCGCGGATCCTAACCTACCAACACAGCTCAATCCACTTATCAGTGACCTCATGGATTTGTGCCATGTTGTGGTCTGGCCGCCCCTAGCATTCTTCCAACCTACTCCTACACCACTGAACATCGCACGTCGGGACAGTCGGTGGTTGGGCATACGTAACACGTGTCCCAGCCATCCCAGCCAACTGATGAAGTTTCACTACTTCTTCAATTGATTTTTCATCCTTACCTAGTACCCGTTTCCTAACAACTGTGTTACTCAGTCGGTGGTCCACTGCCCTGTGGGTTAGACCTTTGGGTCAAAAGCTCGGGGTGTGGCACCCCAAGAAAACCACCTGCTTCGGTCTGGGCACCCGGGCAGTATCACAGCCCACACACAAAAAATGAACTGTCTACTTATGGAAAATATTCTTCTTGCTCCGAATAACAATCAAATGACTCATATTATTATTATTATTATTATTATTATTATTATTATTATTATTATTATTATTATTATTATTATTATTATTATTATTATTTACTATGTCATTTACTCACCCTCTTCTATTCCCACTCTGTGCATAATTATTTTTCGACTTCTCGACCTTGAGTATGCGGATGATATTGTCTTACTGTGCGATAATGCCCAAGGCATGCAATCCGCACTTAATCAGTTGGCAATCAGTGTCTGTAGGTATGGTATGCGCTTTGCACCTCCGAAGTGCAAAGTACTTCTACAAGACTGGCAGGATTCCAATCCTGTACTCACTCTGGATGGTGAGCAGATAGAAGTAGTCGAGAAGTTCGTGTATCTGGGTAGGTGCATAAGTGCTGGTGGGGGTGTGAGTGATGAAATCAATGCACGTATAGTGAAAGCCAGAGCGGCTTATGCCAATCTGGACCGTCTTTGACGCCTTCGTGATGTCAGTCTGGCTGTAAAAGGTCGGATCTACAACGCGTCGGTGAGAGCAGTTTTGCTCTATGCTTGTGAAACCTGGCCTCCTCGAGTTGAGGATGTTAGACGACTCTCTGTGTTCGATCATCACTGTCTCCCAAGGATTGCTGCCATCCAATGGCAACATCATGTTAGTAATGCAGAGGTTCGGCATTGTGTGTTCGTGCACAGAGACGATCATTCAATTGGTGTCACCATCTTGAGACATCGACTTCGATAGCTTGGACATGTTCTACGAATATTGTCCCGGAGGATCCGTCGTCGTGCATTATTTGTCGACTCTGGGACTGGTTGGAAGAAGCGGAGAGGTGGTCAGTGCATGACATGGTGTCGTGGTATGAAAGAAAGCTGTAAAGGGCTGGCTTGTTGGTCCTTCACGACTCCCTGGTTGGGGTCCGAGAGATGGTGCAACACAGTGTCTAGAGACGTTATCAGATATGGCTCAGAATAGAAGCCAGTGGCGATCCTGCTGTAACCTTTTACTCTCTTCATAAAAAGTGGTTGCTTCTTCCTTAACTGAAAGATTTCTTCTGATTGTACCTTTTCGTTTCCCCGATTATTATTATTACGCTACCTTACCTTATTCTGTTCGTTATTGTTTTTTTTATTATTTTATTTTCTTAACGCTCCTCACCTTTTTTCCTTCTCTTCTTCAAATCCCCATTGTTTTATGTGGCGCATGTATATTTGGTGCCCTCTTGTACCAATATTTATGTGTTCAAATAAATAAATAAATGGTCCCAGAATATACGAGCGATGTTTCGAGGACACCTATGATCGACTACTAGTACCCTGCGAATATCTTCTACTCTTACCGGCCATGTTTTACTGCCATAAAGTAGGACACAACGAACTGCTGCACAGTAAACACGTTCTTTGGTTGATAGACGGATATCTCGCCTACGCCATAAATGACGCAAGTTGGCAAAAGCTAGTGAGCCTTCTGTATCCGTGCTGAGTTTCGTCACACCAAACCACAAGGGCTGATGAGACTTCCAAGATAAGTGAAGCGGTCGACACACTCAACTACTTCACTCCTATCACTAGTTCGGGTGTCGATTGTAACCAATCCTGAAGCAACATTTTGTATTTCGAGGAGAGAATCGCATCCCGAACATGCTTGCATTGTGCTTAGAGTGGTCAGAAGACTCTGCATTTTGTCAGCGTCTTCACCAAATAGAACTATGTCATCAGCATATTTCAAGTCAACAAGTAAATCTCATGGTAGAAGTT